CCCACCAAATTCCCACCGAATTCCTGGAGAATTCCCGCCAAATTCCCAGTGAATCCCAATCCCGATCCCAATCCCGATCCCAATCCCGATCCCAATCCCGATCCCAATCTCGATCCCAATCTCGATCCCAATCTCGATCCCAATCCCGATCCCAATCCCGATCCCAATCTCGATCCCAATCTCGATCCCAATCCCGATCCCAATCCCGATCCCAATCCCGATCCCAATCCCGATCCCAATCCTGATCCCAATCCCGATCCCAGTCTCAATCCCGATCCCAATCCCGATCCCGATCCCAATCTCCTTGGAGACCCCTCAGGAACGCTGTAGGGTCGGGTTTGGGAGTGGGTTTGGGATCCCAGTGTTGGGGTCCTTTCCCGCCCGGATCCCGGTGAATCCGGGGTTTCCTGGAAGGTGGAAAAGCCCTCGTTTTGTGGGGTGGGGCTGTTTTTAGGGAAGAAGAGGGAGTTCCGGTTCCACCCCATCAAGGAATCCATCGTGGAGGAGCCCGTGGACATCACCCCGTTCCTGGAGCAGCTGGACGAGTCCCTCAAGGACAAAGTGCTGCAGCTGCAGAAGGGCAGGTGGGGCACCATCCCATCCCATCCTGATCCCGATCCCATCCCGATATCCCATTATTGATCCCATTCCCATCCCCATCCCATTCCCGATCCCATCCCCATCCCATTCCTGTTCCCATTCCCATTCCCATCCGATCCCGTTCCTGATCCCGTTACCATCCTGATCCCATTCCTGATCCCATTCCCATTCCTGATCCCATTCCTTATCCCATTCCCGATCCCATTCTTGATCCCATTCCTGATCCCATTACCATCCTGATCCCATCCCGATATCCCATTCCAATCCCATCCCAATCCCATCCCATTCTGATCCCGATCCCATCCCGATATCCCATTCTTGATCCCATTTCCATTCCTGATCCCATTCCTTATCCCATTCCCGATCCCATTCTTGATATCCCATTCCCGATCCCACTCCCGACCCCATTCCTGATCCCATTTCTGATTTGATCCCAATCCCATTCCTGATTCCATCCCCATTCCCATCCTGACCCCATTCCTGATCCCATCCCGATCCCATTCCTGATCCCATTCCTGTTCCTGATCCCATTCCTGTTCCTGATCCCATTCCTGTTCCTGATCCCATTCCTGTTCTCGTTCCCATCCCAATCTGATTCCCGATCCCATCCCATTCCCATCCCGATCCCATTCCTGATCCCATCCCGACCCCATTCCTGATCTGTTCCCGATCCCATCCCCATTCCCATCCCCATTCCCATCCCGATCCCATTCCTGTCCCCCATGTCCCCACTGTCCCCAGTGTCCCTCATGTCCCCACTGTCCCTGATGTCCCTAATGTCCCCAATGTCCCCGATGTTGTTCCGCAGTGACACGGAGGCGCAGTGCGAGGTGATGCAGGAGATCGTGGATCAGGTCCTGGAGGTAATGGGGACATGGGACTGGGGACACGGGACTGGGGACACCAATGGGGACGTGGGACTGGGGACACGGGATTGGGAACACCGGGATTGAGGACACGGGATTGGGAACATGGAGTGGGGACACGGGATTGGTACCATTCTGAGCCCAGCCCGGGTCAGTTCTGAGCCTGTCCTGAGCCCGTCGTGGGCAGGGTCCGAGCTCATCCTGGGCCGGTTCTGAGCCCGTCCTGGGCCCGTTCTGAGCCCGTCCTGGGCCCGTTCTGAGCCCGTCCTGGGCCCGTTCTGAGCCTGTCCTGAGCCCGTCGTGAGCGGGGTCCGAGCTCATCCTGGGCTGGATCTGAGCCCGTCCTGGGTCGGTTCTGAGCCCGTCCTGGGCAGGGTTTGAGCCCGTCCTGGGTCGGTTCTGGGCCCGTCCTGGGCCCGTTCTGAGCCTGTCCTAGGCCGGGTCTATCCTGGGCCCGTTCTGAGCCCGTCCTAGGCCGGGTCTATCCTGGGCCCGTTCTGAGCCCATCCTGGGCTGGTTCTGAGCCTGTCCTGGGCCGGGTCTATCCTGGGCCAGTTCTGAGCCCGTCCTGGGCAGGGTTTGAGCCCGTCCTGGGCCCGTCCTGAGCCTGTCCTGGGCCGGGTCCATCTTGGCCCATTCTGAGCCCGTTCTGAGCCCGTCCTGGGCCAGTTCTGAGCCCATCCTAGGCCGGGTCTATCCTGGGCCAGGTCTATCCTGGGCCAGTTCTGAGCCCGTCCTAGGCCGGGTCTATCCTGGGCCCGTTCTGAGCCCGTCCTAGGCCGGGTCTATCCTGGGCCAGGTCTATCCTGGGCCCGTTCTGAGCCCGTCCCTCCTCTCCCGTCCCCGCAGGAGGATTTTGACTCGGAGCAGCTCTCGGTGCTCGCCTCGTGCCTCCAGGAGCTCTTCAAGGCGCATTTCCGCGGGGAGGTGCTGCCCGAGGAGATCACCGACGAGTAAGGGATGGGAAAAGGGCATTTGCTGTGGGGATTTGGGATTTTCCTGGGAAATGTTCCCCATTTCCACCCCAAACGTTCCCATTTCCATCCCAAACCTTCCCCATTTCCATCCCAAATACTCCCCGTTTCCACCCCAAACATTCCCCATTTCCATCCCGGGGAAATATTCTCCATTTCCATCCCAAATGTTCCCCATTTCCATCCCAAATGTTCCCCATTTCCATCCCAAACGTTCCCGTTTCCACCCCAAATGTTCCCCATTTCCATTTCATCCCAAACGTTCCCCGTTCCCATTTCCATCCCAAACATTCCCATTTCCATACCAAACGTTCCCCATTTCCATCCCAAATATTCCCCATTTCCATCCCAAATATTCTCCATTTCCATCCCAAATATTCCCCGTTTCTATCCCAAATATTCCCCATTTCCATCCCAAATATTCCCCATTTCCATCCCAAATATTCCCCATTTCCATTTCCATCCCAAATATTCCCCATTTCCACCCCAAACATTCCCATTTCCATCCCAAATATTCCCCGTTTCCATCCCAAATGTTCCCCATTTCCATCCCAGGGAAACATTCCCCATTTCCGTCCTGGGGAAATATTCTCCATTTCCACCCCAAATATTCCCCATTTCCATCCCAAATATTCCCCATTTCCATCCCAAATGTTCCCCATTTCCATCCCAAATATTCCCCATTTCCATCCCAAATATTCCCCATTTCCACCCCAAACATTCCCATTTCCATCCCAAACATTCCCATTTCCATCCCAAATATTCTCCATTTCCACCCCAAAC